AGGTCAATTAACCTTAAAAAAAAAATTATAATGCAGCCACCACAAAAGGGGGATTAGAAAGGTGGAGAGACTGCAAGAGGTTTTTTTTTATTCTCTTCCCACGGTTGGGCTTTAAAGTGCAATTAAAGTAAAACAAATCTAGTAGGCAGAGTGTTTTGGTACAAGAGGCTTTATATAACTCTTCTGCCAAAAAAATAAATTTTCTACTCATTCCCTATTCTACTAGGATTTTTTTCTACAGACGTAAAGAGTAGCTGCTAGGTGTTGGGATATTGTGAAGGGTAGGGAGAATCAGAGTGCAAAAACCATGGTATAGTTCCATAAAGTAAATATTTTTTTAAAAAACAAGGTATCTTACTCACAAGGTTAAAATCTCACTGTCGGAGGAGCATGCAAGGTACTGCTGGAAAGATGAAAACAGGGTGACTGTACAACCATTCAAATGCCCTGGTCAGGTGTAGGGATGAAAAGGCAGTGTCCTGAAAGCTCTTCCCTGACAGAGCTTGGTGTGCACTTCAGATCAGCCACGCTTGTCCTGAGATCAGAAAGTTCCGCCCCCCTGTGTGACATCACCAGCCGGAGCATGCGCACTTTCTTCTTCCTCAGCCTACCTACAGTGCTACTCATCCCGGGTAAATACATTTGCTATGGAAATGGGTTTTATGGAGCCTCAAGGAAACTAAGCACTGCTGTTGAAATACTATAGAAGCACATAAGTTCAAACCGCATCCAATCTGCATATATATGAACCGGAACTAAACCTTCTCAGCCTGACAGTAAACCCACGTGACACAAGAGTACTCCATATTAAAAAGAATGGATACGATCATGTGCATACTTGCACATTTATGGCAAATGTTTTTCTGGCCACCCTTACAGTTTAGTTTCCCTTTGGGCACTGAGGTAGTATGGAGCATTTCATTGCTGACCCCTCCATCTAGAAATGCTAGCTACCTGGCTGTGCTGCCAGGTTCATAGTTTTTAAATGACTGGCCCAGAACAAGTTTGCATATTGCTTAAATTCTAATTTCCCACTTACTTTGCTGATCTTCATGCTTGTTCTAGGCCTGTGACTCCCATAATAATAGAGCAACTGGGTCAGCATGACAGTGAGGCAGCTTAGGTCAGAAGGTATTAGTTTGTATTCTGGATAAAATTTGTAAGCTCACTATCTGTACCTACAGTTCTCATAGTGTAAATATAATATAAAGTGCAGCGGTAAAATATAAATGTGACACAAAATTAAATATACATAAAAAAGTCCCAATAAAAGTGACCTAGGGTAACAGTGCACACTGACCAGAAGTGCACATAAATAGTGCAATGTAGCAAAGATGGAGTTCAGAAAGCCATCATCAGTATGGAAAGGGTAGATGTATTCCCCCGATCAATGAAGGTCCACACGATGAATACAGTGCTCAGAATAAATCCACTGGATGGCAGAAAAAGGAATCACGGCTCCACCAAAGAAAAGCACCACTCCTCCACTGCACATCAACGATATCTAGGAAAAATGCTCCCCACTTAGTTAGTTCTCCACCTTAAAATTTCATGTCCGCATAAGTTCACTGTGGCCTGTGCCCGTGCCGCTCTCCGTACCTCCCTCCTCTCCGATCCTCTGCCGCTTTTTTCCTTTCAGCGGCAGAGGATCGGAGAGGAGGGAGGTACGGAGAGCGGCACGGGCACAGGCCACAGTGAACTTATGCGGACATGAAATTTTAAGGTGGAGAACTGAAGTGGGGAGCATTTTTCCTAGATATCGTTGATGTGCAGTGGAGGAGTGGTGCTTTTCTTTGGTGGAGCCGTGATTCCTTTTTCTGCCATCCAGTGGATTTATTCTGAGCACTGTATTCATCGTGTGGACCTTCATTGATCGGGGCAATACATCTACCCTTTCCATACTGATGACGGCTTTCTGAACTCCATCTTTGCTACATTGCACTATTTATGTGCACTTCTGGTCAGTGTGCACTGTTACCCTAGGTCACTTTTATTGGGACTTTTTTATGTATATTTAATTTTGTGTCACATTTATATTTTAGCGCTGCACTTTATATTATATTTTCATGTGAGGATTTTTTTTGGTTATCCTGTGTGTTTCAGCTGCTTGTCTATCAAAAAGCGCTCACTTTTTTGCTCTCTGTTTTATAGTTCTCATAGTGTGTTAAGTTGGCAGTCTTGGCCCCATGGCTGTTTTCATATGCAGACCTTGCATTTTCAAAGCCACTGTGACAGACATTTTCAGAAATCAGGTCTGCATGTGCAGGCATGCAACATTGGGCTTGGATCTGTTTAAACTTGTACTGCTATGTATGCATTTCAGTTAATTATTTTATTACAATTTTTGTTTTCAAAACTCATTTATATCAGGTCTTTGGACATTTACATTTCCTAAAAGTGCTAATGCTTAAAAAAGGTTTAGCACAAATGTCTATCTTGATGGTGGTTTGTTTGTGCAACCTGGGTGTGTGCCAGAACAAAATTGTAGAAAATTTGGGGAAGCAGCATTACATTGAGGTGTATCAGCGTATGTTTTATGGACACGTTTGGTTTATGGGTATTTTTATTTAACTAACAACTTTCATCTTACTGTGTGGCTGGATCTTTTTGTATGCATTTAAACAGTCTTTTTAAAAGCCCGGGTGTATTTCAGCTAGTAGCTCTTGCAATATCCCATTCACACACAAAAATTGCAGAGAGCTGAGGTCTGAACTTTATGTAAAAGGAGTGCTTGCTGAAGATTTCTTTTATTAACTGTCATCATCTTCATAATATATGGCCAAATAACTGCAGTATAATAACTAAATTTGAGAATAATAGGCCCCTTAAGAAAGGCTCCAGTCATTCATGATAGTCAGTGACAAATAGGTTGGAACAAAGTAACATGCACTGCTTGTCCTGCTTACATTCTCTCCTTGGTGTCATTCTCATCTGTCAATGTCCTGGCTGTGCTCTTATTAAAGCGCACTTCTACTAACGCAACTTAATTTCTGTAAGGAGAAATGACAGCATACTTAATTTAGCTCCTGTAATCCCATTCTTAATTTTTGTTTTGTTGCAGGGTTGTTATTATAATAAATTCAAAACATAAAATAGCCAAGCTATTGCAGAGCTATTTAATTACATTGCAAATTTGCATTTGTCTCCCCACTGTTGTAAGACAATTACCAACCTTGACTGTTTTCATAACCACTTCGTTACCGGAGCAGTTTTTTTTTTTTGTTTGCAAGGAAACACTTAAAACCACCAAACATATATTTTCTTAAAGTAGAAGCCCTACAACGATGGCATATGCATTATGTTTGCGCAACTGCTTATCAAATCCATATTTTCAGTAAAAAATACACTAAGGAATTTATTTTGCACACAAGTACAATATGATACACTATTTTACATAGCATACAAAAGATGGGGCTGCATCGTGTAAATAGATACCAAACATGCCAAGCCTCAAAAGTTTGCACGCCTGTGAAATGGCAAAAAACTACTGTATCCAAAACTGTCCATAAGCGAAGCTTTAAAAGCCTTCACAGATAATCAGTTTAGAGTTAACAGATAATGGTGGCCTTAGAATTAATTCTATCAGTCACTGTTTACATACATGCATTTGTGTTGTTTTAATTTTCTAAACTTGTTTATGTATTTAGTTTTTTTTTTTGCTATTACAAGGAGGTTCCTTTAGTTCTGTGGATCCCTTACCTGGTTCACTCTTACCTAAAAAACTAGGAGCCTGCAAAACAAAACAGTAGGGCCTTGATTTTAACCCCTTGGCTACCAGGACATTTATAAAAAATACCATGGAAGACAAGTGGTTAAAGATTTTCATTAATCACCATGTGTATCTAAAGGTGCTTTGTTGCCTGAAAATACTTGTATTAGTCCTCAAATTATTTCATGTATTGCCCCCATATTTCCTGCAGGCAAACTGTATGTGGGACCTCAGTTTTTGCTTTAAATTTAGTTTTAGACCTGTCCCCACTTTGTGCTAATCCATTCTTTTGTCTTTTAACTGTCTATTATTGAAACCTCTATTTAACCTGAAAGTTTGATTTCAGAACACATATGGAGCATGGCGCTCAGTTATCAGCTAACAACCTGTATCTCTTGGGGATATATTAGCAGCAAAATTTCTCCACCATAGTTTGAGGCTTTATTAGGGCTCATGTACATTGCAGCTGATAAACTGACGTTCAGGAGCTTATCTGCGTTTTTTTTTTAGCAGCCCCTGAACTCTCCCTACTGTTTTCCTATGTGTCAATGTACACAGTCGTTTACAGGCAGTTGAGTTTACAGTGGTTTTTTTTAACGCACCAAACTTGCTTTCAGGAATAGATTTTTATCAGCATTTCAAAGGTTTGTAAACGCGGTTAAACGCGTTTATAAGCGTTTGCGTTGAAAAGCGTTTTTAACTGTTCCATATCCAGATGCTGTCCAGAGCCTTCATCATCAGAAATGCATGCAAAGTGTTTTCCATGTATTCAAATGGACCCAGTACACTAGTGTAGTCAGTTCCAGGTTTTGCGTGAAGGAAAAAATGGTAGAACGTGCTGCATTTTGCTCATGATGGGATCCATAGTGAATACAACCAGAAAAGACAGGTCATCTCAATACATACTGCTCTCTCTGCTTCTCCTCTCTCTATTTCTCTCAAAATTACCATATTTGGCGCTCCATAAGACGCACTTAGGTTTTAGAGGTGAAAAACAAGGAAAAAAATATTCTGAACCAATGGACTGCAGACACAGTACAGGAGATGACCAGAGACTGCGGACACAGTACAGGAGATGACCAGAGACTGCGGACACAGTACAGGAGATGACCAGAGACTGCGGACACAGTACAGGAGATGACCAGAGACTGCGGACACAGTACAGGAGATGACCAGAGACTGCGGACACAGTACAGGAGATGACCAGAGACTGCAGACATAGTACAGGAGATGACCAGAGACTGCAGACGGACACAGTGCAGGAGATGACCCAGAGACTGCGGACATAGTACAGGAGATGACCAGAGACTGCGGACACAGTACAGGGAATGACCAGAGACTGCGGACACAGTACAGGGGATGACCAGAGCCTGCGGACATAGTACAGGTGATGACTGGAGACTGCGGGCACAGTACAGGGAATGAGCAGAGACTGCGGACATAGTACAGGGATTGACCAGAGACTGCGGACATAGTACAGATGACCAGAGACTGCGGACATAGTACAGGGAATGACCAGAGACTGCAGACAGTACAGGGGATGACCAAGAGACTGCGGACCTTTGGGGAGGGAGAGGGAGCGGGTACCTGAAGTTGTCCTTTCCTTAGTGTGGGCACGTTGGCTTCTTCCCACGCCGGCTTCTGTGATAGCCGGGTGCCCACTGTGCATGCGTGAGAAGCGCTGTGCTTTATGAATGACCCGGAGCCTTCTGGGACCTGTCATGTGTCCCAGAAGTCGTCGGACCATTCATAAAGCGCAGTGCTTCTTGCGCATGCACAGTGGGCACCCGGCTATCACAAAAGCCGGCGCGGGTGCGTCTTATGGAGCAAATATGGAGCGGCCGGCCCCAGTATTCTGACATGGTGGCTGCGGCGGAAATACCGGACCGGCCGCTCCATATTTGCTCCATAAGACGCACTGACATTTTCCCCCCTATTTTTGGGGGAAAAAAGTGCGTCTTATAGAGTGAAAAATACGGTAAAAAGTTAATTTTTTACTGTTTTTCAGTACAGGGGATGACCAAGAGACTGCAGACTTTTGGGGAGGGAGAGGGAGCGGGTACCTGAAGTTGTCCTTTCCTTAGTGTGGGCACGCTGGCTTCTTCCCACGCCGGCTTCTGTGATAACCGGGTGCCCACTGTGCATGCGTGAGAAGCGCTGTGCTTTGTGAATGGCCCGGAGCCTTCTGGGACCTGTCATGTGTCCCAGAAGTCGTCGGACCATTCATAAAGCGCAGTGCTTCTCGCGCATGCACAGTGGGCACCCGGCCATCACAAAAGCCAGCGCGGGAAGACTACAGCGCTGGACAGAGGAACAGGTAAGGTCCTGCAGGAGAGAAGAGCTGAGTGGCCGGCCCAGTATTCTGACATGGTGGCTGCGGCGGAAATACCGGACCGGCCGCTCCATATTTGCTCCATAAGATGCACTGACATTTTCCCCCCTATTTTGGGGGGAAAAAAGTGCGTCTTATGGAGTGAAAAATACGGTAAAAAGTTAATTTTTTACTGTTTTTCAGTGCATTCTGGGCATTTTGGAAGGTCTCCTGAGGTTATCTTTAAAAAACACTTCTAAACAAACGCGGCATGCAAATGCAACTAAACAAACATTTTTTTTTTTAACCTACGTTTCCCAGCAGTTTCCATAGTTCAGAAGTGTTTTCCAAACGTCCTGTGTACATGAGCCCTTAAACCTGAAGTTTGGCCGAGACAAAAACAATTCCCTCCAGATTTAGTCACATCTCATAGCTATAATGAAGTATGCGCCACTGTTTGCAGGCAGCTGGATCCTGGAGATATCTTAACTGCAGGGATGCTGGTCCTGTTTCTGGCTTTGTTTCTGGTGCTGCAATGGTTAACCGCTTCAGGTCTTTAGGCAGAACAGTGGTACGTATTGTCCAACAGGGACATTCCCCTTCTTTCCTCCGCCTCTATTGAGAAAAGGTCTTTCACTGATTACACTGCTTGAGCTATGATCTGTCAATGGGGGAGAGTCTGATCAGTCATAGGAACCTCTCCTCCATTTACAGATCTGCTTTCAGTACACATTAAGTTTTTACACCATCTGGGACCACTCTCCCTTCTAACCTTCTCAGTGTGGCAGTCCTTTGCCTTATTCTTGTGTGTAGGTCTGCTTCTGACCCCATTCATTGCTAGTCTGTGTATATGAATTCTGAAGTGACTGGACACCCAAGAAGTGAGAGAAGAGGGCCATCCCCACTTACAGCATAACACAGCCCAATACATTGTACTAGCATCCACCATGTTCTGAGTCTTGCTTCAATTTCCTGTTATAGTAGTTGTGACTGCTCTGACTGGTAGATAGGAGTTTGATCACTTTGTTGAGTGTACTCTGACTTGGTCAGACACACCCTGTCACATATCCATGTGATGACACTGAGCCAATCGGCACTGTCATAACAGAGTTCATAGCCCTGTGCACTACCACTCCAATGACTTGTAGGTTATACAAGTCTTTGCTTTTACTTCTGCCAGCTGAATGGAGGAGTGAAAATAAGGTAAGGATAGAAGGAATGCCAGTATAGTATAATGTCTCGTTAAACTGAAGATATATCCTTACATAGGAGATAATCAGGCAAGTCGAATACCTTGGAAATCCACAAGTTTATGGATTTAATAGTGCTTGTCTCATGCTGTTCTAGTAAGTAGTGAGCAGCCTTTACACAGTTGTTGTTCCATTTGGCGTAGCAGTGCAAGATTGGTGATCCAAACACCCACTATCTCAGTTGTTTTCTCTTCATTAAAGTGAACCTGTTGTTTACATATGCAAAGCACAGGTTCCCTTTAACTTGAACCTGTAAAATAACTAGAAATAATTAAAGTGTTACTGAACCTACAACAGTAAAATCAGTCTGCATATGTAGTAAAGCATACTTGTTATACTCGCTATGGAACTTAAGGGGTTAATCCTCTGCATTGTGTAAAAAGGATGTTTGCTTCTTTCTTCTCTGATCCTCCCCTTCTTCCACGTTCCCCATTTCATCTCCTGATAGAACACGGGGTTACTATGCACATTCTCAGTTTGGTGTGTACTGCTGTAGAGGTTTTTTCTTTTTCTTGGGAGAGTGCATATGATCAGCACAGGGCCAATCAGCACTTTCCAGACAGAGGGTCAAGGGTTAAGTAATCTCATAGGCCAGTAAGAGCATAATGAAAACGCCTCCTACAAGCTTTAACCAGTGTTCAGCTGGACACTGATAGAAGTCACAAGACTGCTGTAACTGCTGATGAGAAAATGTATTTAGCAGTTTATATTTGCTAAAATAATTGCATTTCTTTGTTCTGTGTACTGTGGGAGACCAGATATAGTGAATGCAGGATCCTGGGTTTAGTGACACTTTAAGCATGACATTTACAGCTTCCATGCATGTTGGACCATTTAATGTATTTTACTGTTTAAAAATAAAATATTGTTTTTTCTTCATCATTTATTATATGTGTATTTTGCAACAGCATATTTATAAACCCATTTATATTTTTCTCTTTTTTTCCCAGGCTGCTGCCATCTTCAATTCTGCATTTGGGAGCTTCTTGGTAAGTAGTAAGCACATGTCTTCTTACTGTGCCTAATCATCCTCCAAATAGGTACTGTTTTCAGTTAAATCAATAGCCACTGTTAACTGTCCTGATAAAGACGTATGTCAATACAGTGATTTATTTTCTTATTGTCTTTAATGAGCTATATTGGATATTCATTACAAAGCAACACAATGGCTGAGGTACAGTGGATACAAAAGCTGAACCATTCTTGTTTTAAACAATGACACATGATTGAGCATCTTTGGTCATGGTTGGAATGTATCCTGGGTACTGGTACAATTACAATATGGCTCTATGGCACAAAGAGAGTCAATTTGTGTTTTTATAAGTAGCAAACTGAAAGTTACCTTTATTGAATAAAACAATACTTGTATTTAAACAGCAAGAATAACTATATTTAGAATATAACTATAGACTCGCCACGTGAATGAAAGACGTATTTATTCACCAAAATGTAGTTTTTATATATACATTGTCGTCATTTTTTTATATGGTCAACATATCTGTTTATTAAGCATAGTTGACCCCTTCTCCCCTTGTTTAAAAAAAACAAAAACAAAAAAACAAAACAAAAAGATAAAACTTGAGAGACTTCTAGAAAACTTAGAACTGTTCAGATCACTGTGATCCATTTGTCAAAGCGACTATTGATAGGAATGGTATGCGTTGTCCAGTGAGTTTTTTACTTTTATTGGGAGTGAAAGTGATACCATTTATTGAGTGGTAACTTCACTTATCATTGATCTGAATAGTGTCAGCTTCAATTCCCAGGAACTAGTATACAGCCCATTAGTAGGGGAATAGTAATATTCTGTCAGAGGCTAGAGAGAATATTATGTTCTAGTAAAATTTTAAATGAAATCCGTTATATCTGCCAGAAAAACTGTCTCCATTCAGGGCTAAGCTGAAAGTTAAATGAGTTGCATACAATTTGATTTTCTAACATCCACATTACAATAGCAGTAAAAATAGTAGATCTTTCTGAAAATCTAATATCAGTGCACTTGAAAACCTTTTTTCATGTTGAGAGTGCTGCCTCTCTGCAGACCATCTGTTTCAACAACTGACTGGATATGCCCTGAAGCTTCTCTTCCACTCATTCCTTTGGTTTACTTTCGGTCTCTAAGGATTATATTTACCATGTTACCCTGTTGCCTGCGAGTAGTGATTCTTGTATAGACTCTGCCTCTTGAAATACCTCCTCCTCAATACCTGTACAATTCAGAGAGCAGGCTCTGTGTGACACAGCAGCGCCTACCCAAGTGAATGTGTCACAGAATTTAGGAAATAATTTTAGAAAACTCTTTGACTCCTGAAACGCGTTGGATACTTTTTTGGATTGTACCACTAACTTTTAATGGAATAAAGTTGTATCTGGACCTCTTAGCAGTGGTGTGGGGCTTAAATTTAAATTTTTGTTACATTACACTACAAATGTAAAAAAAAGTAAGAGTCCAGCATCAACACAGTGATGGGGATGCAATCCCAGGCAGAAGACGCAGGAAGATGAGCCTCTCAGACGTCAGGGTGACCAGATGTCTCCACTATGTCTTTCTTAGGGAGATATCTACCTTGTTATGGCCATCTATTTACTTTCAGCAGATGTGTCAGGACTCTCTGTCAACCATACCTGGTCAATTATCGCCCTAAACTATTTTTGTAAATTCCAACATTTTACATTGGGGTAGCAGTCAATTACTGTAAAGGTGTGCTACTAAGACAGGAGTTGGTTAGAGTTTTTGTAAACCATAACAATGAACTTCTACTACATGCTCCCTTTTGGTATGTTAACTATATCGTTGAAAGGGTTGTGATATATATGTTTGATAAGTGCAAAAAAAATTACTGCTTGTTCCTCCCGGAAATCTTTTGAGCTGACTGCTAACTACTCGCTTTTTCTCTTTTATCCATTAGCACTGTACAGCTCTCTCTATATGGACTACAGAACACCTCCTTCCTGATTTTAGAGATGAGAAGTGGAAGAGTTTTGTAGTCCTTAAACACTTGCTCTAGCATGACAGCTTTGCTCCTTCATGAATACAGTACAGTGAATGTGTGTAGTCATCCTAGAACAGGAAGTATGTTACTGGCACTAAATGAAGCACTGCATATGAAGACTAGTAAGCGTCAATATATTACCTAGATATATAAATCTGTATTAAGCAGAGGTTACTTTATTGGCTAAGTTTACCTTTGGGAACATGTTACATGTTCCACCTGCTTTTA